GCATTTGAGCAGATAAAAGATACCTGAGCTCTGGACCTCCCGTATATGCCTCACTGACTTTTATCAACAGATTGGGTGTCGAAACCACAGGTTAAAGAGAGATGCTGGTGATAAATATAGTGTGAGTGATTTGATACTGGTTTTGTCAGGCAACACCCTCAGATTGTTTCTCAAAGACACCAAATACATGGCATCACACTACACCCTCTTAACCCCAATCACAAGGTGCTGAGACCATAACTTTGCACTACCTGTTGCACAGAGTTCTTTGAAACAACACTTTTCTCACACAGCTTCATTCCCAGAAGCACAACTGCAAAGGTAAGGCAAATTTGCTGTGGCGAAGTCACATTGTTTCCTAATCACCTTTCCCCCCCAAATTATAGTTCACCATCTTCATAATCTCTTACCCCTTACCCATGCCAGTGGAGATTTTGAAGACTGGGTTGTATTAACCAGGGTGTCATCCCCAACAACAAAAGGCAGGTGGTTAATGAAATGGCACCTAAGCTCTGTACCTCGAGTGGGGCTCCAAAACATCCCACTTTACAGGCAATTACCCTAAAATTCATCTTATTGGATCATCCAGACAACACCAGAAATGGACTCTCCCCTCATTCACTCTTATGTCAGTACCAGGGTCCTGTGGTCATCAATTCACATTCCCTTTTCAAGTGCACATCACTCTTTACCAAACTGGCTCACACCTGCATTCCCTTACCCCCATCCCCATAGTCCTCTCCTTGGCCTCTGAGTTATTACTCAGCATTTGTTGACCAGAGAATGCTTGCCAACATGTCTCACTGAACCTCCACTCAAGTCCCAGCCCCGATGGCCCTCTGCATCATGCTCAGTGAGTTTCACAGATGACCACTCAAACCTCTAAGCCAATGGTTCTCAACCTTCTGGCCCTTTAAATATAGTTCCTCAGGTTGTGACCCAGCCATAAAATTATTTTTGTTGCTACTTCATAACTGTAATGTTGCTACTGTTATGAATCGTAATGTAAATATCTGATATGCAGGATGGAGTTAGACGACCCCTGTGAAAGGGTTGTTTGACCGACAAAGGGGTCACAACCCACAGGTTGAGAACTGCTGCTCTAAGCTAATCCACAATACTGACTGCAACTTCCCACAGCCAGGCCACACCAAAGGTCACAATTAATCCTGGTGAGTGTTTAAAGAAGTTAATATGTATCAGCTCTAACTCATCATGTTTGAATAATTCTTTAGCCTCCAGGTAATCTCAGGTCCACTCATCTTTTAAAGGCCTTGACCACTGCAAAATGATTACCTATCCCCAAACTCTACGTGACAACTTCTCTCCCTCTGCTGTGTTGTGACACCCACCTCCCACAAACAGTGGCACCAGCAGGAAAGCCAGTTCTCAGGCTCACACTGTCCCTGCTGAGCTACTACTACCATTACCAACCTGACCATGATTTACTGTATTAAAGTAATCTACAGCCCTGGCTTATGTGTGTCCGTTGATTGAGTAGAGACCCATGCACTGGTGAGGTCACATGCCTGGGTTGTATATATTTAATAAAGATACCTACTGGTTCCTGAATCAGCTCACTCCGCACAAAAAGCCTTTTCACATGCTGGAACCTATGCCCTGGAGAAGCGGCCACCAACCTTTTGGACCTCACAGAGCACCAATGGTGCATATACCACCAGTTGGGGACCACTGCTCTAAAAGTTTCCATAAACCAGCCGTCAGCAAAGCTTCCCGACCTCATAGACCACCAGTGGTCCAAGGAAAAATCATTGGCGACCACTGCCCTGGACGACCTCCAACTCATTACACTGGTTTCCAGGAAGAAGGTTCACTTCACGAAGTCCTAGTTGTGGCCTTAGGAGTCGGGCTTAGTGGTCTGTTATACCCAGGTCCATGGGCTATAAGAGCAGATGACAGTCCCAGGACACTACTCTCGCAGAAGCCACAAGAGTGTGAAGCCCTGAAATAATCTTCACGAATCAGTATACCTAATTCATTCTGCATCTGCAGGAATTCTTGGAAAGAAAATCGTCTGTTGAGAGCCTGGCAATCACCCCCAGGAACTATGGGCCCAGGATGCTCAGTACCCTTGCCCAGCCCAGAGGCCAGGTGCCCTCAAGATGCCTCTATTATCTCTCAGCTCAGTCCTCAGTGCACACTCTTACCAGTTACCTTATCATTTACAGGACTTCCCCTTCCTGTCCACAGCTGCTGTCCTCTGTCTTCTAGTCTGTTCTTCCTCTGAGCAATTTTAGGAAAAGTTAGAACCCTACCTCAGATAATGTCCCTCCTTTTTTCAAACCCTCTATGGCCCCAGCATTCTGAGAATGAAAGTAAAACTTGTGCAAAACCACACCTCATCTCTTTGTTTGTTCCCTTTACACTGAAAACAGGCCTGGGTTTTCCTAATCTTCCCAGCTCAGCCCCATCACCGGCTCAGCCCCATCACCTTGTCCTTAGAAGTTGGCACTGTAGCCTCTGGCCTTCTTTCCCCCATCACACCCCGTGTCACCCAGGAGAGACTCACTGTTCTGGATGTGGCTTCCTGGGCTGCAGTAACTGAGAGG